TTATTTTCCAATGTTTGAACTATTTTTGCGTAGACAAAAGTACAAAGCAGTGAAAATCATTAATAGGCAAGCGTTCGATGGGCTGAATTGCACAAAATGCATGATCGTACCGGCTAGTCTGGTGCGCGTTGCTGTTTATTTTAGCTTTAGACCCATCTTTTGCAGCAATGGTGCTTGCGCCGTTAGAGGGGGAAGAGGGGCGATAGTTTCTTCCGCCTATGATCAAGGGGTTCACACCGATAGTTAGTCAATCAGTTTTTCCCCGTAAATAATTTAATGCCCTTGAACTCACTTATGTAAGACATACGCAGCAAATTCAATGCATGCCGTAGCTTCTTGAACCGTTGGTACTTTCAGAATTTGCAAGGGTAATTTTTGTGCTTCAAGCCCGGACTCTTCTTCCCTGATTTCAACTGGTGCAGATTCTGATTTCCAAAAGCACGGGACCCAATCTCGAACTCTCGCCATTGCCAGTTTTTCGGTGTTTGTATGCTGTTTTTGTTTCAGGTAATGTCAAGACGGCTGGAATTTGCAGCGGATCGCTATTCGGTATCACTTGGTTACGCTGATGAGCTCTGCCGGGCACTGATAAAGCTCGGCAAGGATAACCTATCGTTGCCGGTCGATGACCCGCTGTATTCGATGTGCAATCACTCGCATCCACCAATCCCCGAACGGATTTGTGCAATCAACAAGAGTAAATGATCCAGTTTTTGTTGTCTTAGTCCCCCAGACTACTAGGGTTTTCATTTTCGTGCATATTGTTTTTACGGGAGAAATCTCAGACCATTTGTAAAGTTTCGGTTCTGTACAGCCTTGGTGTATCTGATCGTATTCAACAGAAAAACCCGGTTTCGCTGAACGAGATACTTCTTTATGCTCTGTTGACAGGGGTATCTCAGTGAATTGTCATGTAGGAGATAGAAATCGATTGTACACGAAGGAGTTCTGATTTACCCATAATTTGCCGGTAATCTACACGAAATTGTGATTTTTGAGCCAATTCATGCTTGCTGACCTGTATTTTCGTCTGGTAATATTGTGTATCACTGGGATGAGATTTCCTGAGACGGCCGGGTGTCATGCATTTTCCTTTGTATTGTAGATTTTTTCTTTGGTAAAAAAAGTTGAGATGGTAATTATGACCGTTGTTGGGATGTGTTGTTTTGCTTCTTTCCACTTTGGGGTCTCATTGTTAAATAAACTGATCACAGTTTTAAATAAATAGTGGCGCACACCAGGGCAGCCGGTGCGATCATGCATTTTGTGCAATTCAGCCCATCGAACGATTGCCTATTAATGATTTTCAC